CCATATCCAAAACAGTAGGAGTCATGGGCCCAGGACCAAAAGCGAATGAATTTGAAGTACTATCCCAAAAACAAAAGGCAGCACTTATCAACGAGGGGTTTAGAATAATTTGGTGTTTCGACAACATAATGGCTTGAAAGATACCATTCAACATCCACTTATCCTTAAACAAGAGCAGCATCGCGTCTACCCAATCAGCCCAAGGGAGGAAATCCTCCGGAAGAGAAATGACAGGATTCGAACCTAACCGTTCCAGATGCACGTCCCATGACCTCCAATCAACATATTCCAAACCATAGGTGAATGGCACTCTGACCAAGCAAGTATCCAAAGACAGCAACTTTTTGGGCTTAGCCTGAAAATAGTGCGGACCCAGGAATGGGGTTCTGTAGGGACCTCTCAGAGTCAAAGGTAGAAGAGAATATAGCTTCAGCGAACTAACCGACTGCACTTGCACAAGAGGAGCATGAAAATCGGACGCATGTTTTGTGGCTTCCTCATCCGACATCCAACGAGGGGTTACAGTGGAAACCATGATACTTTTCGAGCGTTTTGGAGCCATGGTAATATTTTTGAAAGAAATGAGAGGCAACAACTATGGAAAATGAAGAAGAAGAGATCTGCACAGTGGCCTTTTCAGGAAAAAGGGTTCGAAAAATAAGAAGTTGGGAAGTTATCTTTTCGACAGGCCGAATTAATTGCCAGATATGAGACATGGGGAGATAGTTGATGTATTGCCACCACTATGATGGCGCGTACATTTCAAAAAATTCGTACCGTCATGATGAGATAGATCCGGAAGAAGCTAAAAGGTCTAATTTTGATAGACTTGACCTAAGCCCATCAAAACTAGAGGGCAATGTTTGTACCCAATTTTGGTAGATGGGCCAAAAGTGGTCGCACGGTTTAAAAGATATTTTTAAAAATAGAGTCAGGCCCATTAGCACTTGTTTGTCTCAAAAGAACCATCCTTCTCACAGTTGGACCTCTTTGAATGAATAATAAAAAGGCCCAAGGTTAGGAAAGTCAGGCCTCTATCTCATGCTACACGTCAAAAATTGATAAGCGTGTTCTCTGAACCCATGTGGGAGGCCGAAGAAGATTATCACAATTAATGATGAATTGACTCCTTACTCACCCAGCAAGAAAGCAAGTCGTATTAAAGCCCCTAAAACCAGAAGATCAAAATTGCCAGCCAAGTTTTCAAGTACAGAAAGTCAAATCAAGAAAGCTCTACAAAGGGAACCGACGATCCTTGCCAGAAATCCTCCATCATTCCTTCTATGAACTAGTTAAGATCAACGAACTAGCAGTTGACCTTGAACTACAAGCCAAAGGTCTTGTCGCAGTTTCTATCATTCAAGTTCATCCCCTTCTATAAACAATAAGGGTCTACTTCAGAAAAAAGGGACTCTTTCCAAAAACCAAACGAAAAGTCTTTAAAAACTCTCTCAAGATAACAATCTGCCTACTTTGTCATTATGATATCCAGTCGACGAATCCTGTGATTATCTCTTGTAGCTCTGCCATGCCCATGGTATGATTTTCTTTTAATATGTATGTCATTTCAATTCATGTAATCTCTGGACTGGATTGAGGAATCTCCAGCCCTTTTATCTTTGCTCCGTTGCTTGAATTTGAGAACAAGTTAATGAATTAACCAAAGAATCTCTTGTTGTTTAGTTTGAAATGCTAAGTAACATGTAAATCGCAGAAGATTCGGTAGTTAAATTCTAATTAATTGTCCGACAAAACAAGCTTTGAATAATTTTAATACTTAAAATTGGATTCCCGCCATCCTATTCTTCGAAAAGCCAGAAAAACTGATATTCAGGCCCGAAAAGGAGTAGGGGCCCAAACGATACAGTAAAGAAAAAGGCAAGGAGTTGAGTTGGGCCTGAACATTGAGTCAGGCCTGAATTAATTACCAACTTAGTCCGAAAAGGAAAAAAACATTGAAACAGGTTAATAAAGCCCAGGCAGGGTCTTTACTAATCATGAACTTGGTCTTACTCTGTTACCTATTCAGGTGCTACTCGTACTTGTCAGGGTGATATTCACAAAGAAAAGAACATTAAAGTCATCTTAACCGAGGCACAGAAAAGAATCTATCCAGGCCAGTACCGCCCTTGGAGCACAATGGCTTGATAAGAAGTCCAGATAGAAAGTGCAAACTCCACAAGCATCCATCATTCACAATTCACACCAGATCTATTGGGCTGGTTGTATACCTAATAGTGGCATGCCTACGCAACGACAAGAGTCAGTATCAAAATGAGCTATTCATCGAGGCCTTAGTTGGGCCCATTCGCTCTGTCAACTGATTCAACTTTCAATTTTGTTCGAAAATTGAAGAAGTCCTCTCCGCAAGCCAAGATACACCATTCGATCGGGGCATTGGTGTTGATCCGTCAACTTCACCTCTGTCCCTCAGAGTTGAACTGACCCCTGCTGTTGGTAAAAGGAAGAAGGGAGGAAAAAAGGACCAACAGTAGTTAGTACGGAGAAAATGGTTGGAGAGAGAAAGGAAGAAGAAGATGGAGATAAGACATGTCGAAGAAGAAGATGGAGATAGACAGGTTGAAGATGAGATGTGCAGGTGCAGGTAGGGATGGAGAGGGAAAATGGAGGAAAAAGAGGAGATGTCTGATGGTTCTCAATCAGGAAAAAGAGGAAAAAGAGGAAAAAGGGTTTTGTTTTACCTGTTTGTATGTGAAACCTATTAAAACCATGTTTTAATCTCTATCGTCCAATCTAATCCAATGATGTTCTCATATAAAATTCTCATTTAGTGTTCTCACTAGATAACTGCCCAACAAGACTCATGACATCAGAATGAACAGCAGTTCAGGCCCAAAAGTGAACTGAACTGAAGTTTAAAAAGCCCAATTAGTGCTGCTTTCGCACGAACAAACAAACGCACAAACTAAACCTAACCTGCCAGCCGCATAAAGAGCCTCTTATCTTCATCGATCTATCAGGGTTTGATATGTGATAGCCGCCCCTTTTCTTTATTTCTTACCTCTGATCTCTCTTGTCTCCGGGAGCACATATGTTGAAATTTTTGGAGATTGAAGATGAGCAGCCGCCGCGATCGGCAGGTGTGGAGAGACGCTGCTTCCGGAATTGTTGTTTTACGACCGGGATCGAGAGAGATTGTGCGGTGTGCTTGTTTGAATCTCTCTCTGTCTATCTTCTTGATGTTTTCGAGGGGAGCAGAGATGTCAATTTTTTGGAGATTGAAGATAAACAGCCGCCGCGATCTTCAGGTGTGGAGAGACGCTGCTTCCTGAATTGTTATTTTACGACCAGTATCGGGAGAGATTATGTACTTTGTTGGTTAGAATTTTTGAAGGTGTGTAGAGACGCTGCGTCCGGAATTGTTATTTATTGACTGGGATCGGGAGCGATTGTGCGGTTGGTTTGTTGGTTTGAATCTCTCTGTCTATCTTATTTTTGGAGATTAAACTGATCTGCTGGTTTGGAGAGACGCTGCTTCCGGAATTGTTGATTTACGACCGGGATCAAAAAAGATTGTGCTGTTTGTTGGTATGAATCTCTCTGTCTATCTTGATGTTTTCGAGGGGAGCAGAGATGTCGAATTTTTGAAGGTGTGGCGAGACGCTGCTTCCGGAATTGATCTGCAGGATCGAGAGAGATTGTGCAGTTTGTTGGTTTGAATCTCTCTCTGTGATGTCGAATTTTTGGAGGTGTGGAGAGACGCTGCTTCCGGAATTCTTATTTTACGAGAGTGATTGTGCGGTCTGTCTATCTTCTTGATGTTTGGAGCAGAGATGTCGTTTGTTTGGTGGTGTGGAGAGACGCCGCTTCCGGAATTCTTATTTTACTGGATCGAGAGTTATTGTGCGGTTTGTTGGTTTGAATCTCTCTGTCTATTGATGTTTTCGAGGGCCAGAGATGGCGAATTTTTGGAGATTGAAGATAAACAGCCGCCGCGATCTGCAGGTGTGTAGAGACACTGCTTCCGGATTTGTTATTTTACCGAGATAAATTGTGCGGTTTGTTGGTTTGAATCTCTCTGTCTATCTTCTCGAATTTTTGGATATTTGAGTTTGCAGATGAACAGCCGCCCCTGATCTGTAGGTGTCAAGAGACGCAAGTGCCGCCTAATTCATGAATAATGACTTCTGCCACCACCACAACTGCCGCATCACCACATCTGCTGCTGCAACCCCCGCCACAAAAGCCACCGCCACCCACCACCCACCACCACCACTTGAGGATGAAACTTTGGGCTCTTACTGCACATAGCCACTCAAAGGCTGGCACACACCCCCATCTCTCCACCGTAAATCCCAATACCCACATTGTGAAAAAACACCAAACCCACCCACATTGTGAAAAAACACCAAACCCATCCAAACCTTCTCTTAACCGTAAATTCCAAGGCCCAAAACCTACCCAAAAATCCAAACACTAAACCCACCCAACAACCCATACCCACATTCTACAAAAACACTAAACTCACCCAGAAAACCCAATGCCCAAAACCCATACCCACATTCTACAAAAACACTAAACTCACCCAGAAAACCCAATGCCCAAAACTTGAATTTACTCAAAATGCCCAATGTCACGCTATTCACCTGGTTTGTTCTTATGCTCAATAAAATCTAATGTATATATATATTTTTAATACCAACTATTTTTCGTAATTTATCATGATTTTGGGGTGTCATTTAGGATTGCTGTGATTGAAAAAAAAAGTTTTGAAATAATTTTTTCTATATTTTTTTTGCCTGGTGCCAATTTATCGAAGGGTTTTTGAAAAATGATTTTCCTCTGTTTTAATCAACCTTTTATATTTATCGTAAGAACTCCTTACTTTTCCCAAATCAAAATGACACCCCTTACCCTCATAAAAGAGCATTACTTGTTGCATTACACATTGGGTCTGCTCACACTATTCAGCGGCTATCTCCTCATTGGCACTCTTCGGCGGCTATCTCCTCTCTTCGGCAACTATCTCCTCCTTGCCACTCTTCGTTTAGCTATTGGCACTCTTCGGCAACTATCTCCTCCTTGCCACTCTTCGTTTCAACCCACTGTTAATCTGTAAGTTTAGGGTTTAGGCCCTGTAATTTTTGTTTTTAAATGAACTATCTGCCTTTTTGTGTTCTAATACCCACTCTTCGTTTCAACCCACTTTGTTAATCTGTAAGTTTAGGGTTTAGGCCCTGTAATTTTTGTTTTTAAATGAACTATCTGCCTTTTTGCATTCTAATACCCACAACAGTGGATTTGATGAATTATCTGCATCTTTTATCATTGGGTTCTGTTCTTTTTCAAGTTTATGTTTGTGTTAACTTTGTCATTTGTTTCCAAAAACGAATCTTGTTTCTGGGTTTATCAGTTTCAAATTTTTGCCAATCTGCCTTCATTCTTGAAAATGTGGAAATTTGGAAATCGACCCATCACTGTACTTTACCTATATTCCGACTCTGGTTTTTTTCTTAAAGTTTCTGGTTTTTCATTTGGTTTCAATTCAACCCACTCTGTTAATCTGTAAGTTTAGGGTTTAGGCCCTGTAATTTTTGTTTTAAAATGAACTATCTGCCTTTTTGCGTTCTAATACCCAATCTTCGTTTCAACCCACTTTGTTAATCTGTAGGTTTAAGGTTTAGGCCCTGTAATTTTTATTTTTAAATGAACTATCTTCCTTTTTGCGTTCTAATACCCACAAAAGTAGATTTGATGAATTATCTGCATCTTTTGTCATCGGGTTCTGTTCTTTTTCAAGTTTATGTTTGTGTTAACTTTGTCATTTGGTTCCAAAAACGAATCTTGTTTCTGGGTTTATCAGTTTCAGATTTTTGCCAATCTGCCTGCATTCTTGAAAATGTGGAAATTTGGAAATCAACCCATCACTGTACTTTACCTATATTCTGACTCTGTTTTTTTTCTTAAAGTTTATGGTTTTTCATTTGGTTTCAATTCAACCCACTCTGTTAATCTGTAAGTTTAAGGTTTAGGCAATGTAATTTTTGTTTTAAAATGAACTATCTGCCTTTTTGCGTTCTAATACCCACTCTTCGTTTCAACCCACTTTGTTAATCTGTAAGTTTAGTGTTTAGGCCCTGTAATTTTTTTTTTAAAATGAACTATCTGCCTTTTTGCGTTCTAATACCCACAAAAGTAGATTTGATGAATTATCTGCATCTTTTGTCATTGGGTTCTGTTCTTTTTCGAGTTTATGTTTGTGTTAACTTTGTCATTTGGTTCCAAAAACGAATCTTGTTTCTGGGTTTATCAGTTTCAGATTTTTGCCAATCTGCCTGCATTCTTGAAAATGTGGAAATTTGGAAACCAACCCATCACTGTACTTTACCTATATTCTGACTCTGTTTTTTTCCTTAAAGTTTATGGTTTTTCATTTGGTTTCAATTCAACCCACTCTGTTAATCTGTAAGTTTAAGGTTTAGGCAATGTAATTTTTGTTTTTAAATGAACTATCTGCCTTTTTGCATCCTAATACCCACTCTTTGTTTCAACTCACTTTGTTAATCCGTAAGTTTAGGGTTTAGGCCCTGTAATTTTTGTTTTTAAATGAACTATCTGCCTTTTTGTGTTCTAATACCCACTCTTCGTTTCAACACACTTTGTTAATCTGTAAGTTTAAGGTTTAGGCCCTGTAATTTTTGTTTTTAAATGAACTATCTGCCTTTTTGCGTTCTAATACCCACAACAGTAGATTTGATGAATTATCTGCATCTTTTGTCATTGGGTTCTGTTCTTTTTCAAGTTTATGTTTGTGTTAACTTTGTCATTTGTTTCCAAAAACGAATCTTGTTTCTGGGTTTATCAGTTTCAGATTTTTGCCAATCTGCCTGCATTCTTGAAAATGTGGAAATTTGGAAATCGACCCATCACTGTACTTTACCTATATTCCGACTCTGTTTTTTTATCTTAAAGTTTATGGTTTTTCATTTGGTTTCAATTCAACCCACTCTGTTAATCTGTAAGTTGAGGGTTTAGGCCATGTAATTTTTGTTTTTAAATGAACTATCTGCCTTTTTGCGTTCTAATACCCACTCTTTGTTTCAACTCACTTTGTTAATCCGTAAGTTTAGGGTTTAGGCCCTGTAATTTTTGTTTTTAAATGAACTCTCTGCCATTTTGCGTTCTAATACCCACTCTTCGTTTCAACACACTTTGTTAATCTGTAAGTTTAAGGTTTAGGCCCTGTAATTTTTGTTTTTAAATGAACTATCTTCCTTTTTGCGTTCTAATACCCACAACAGTAGATTTGATGAATTATCTGCATCTTTTGTCATTGGGTTCTGTTCTTTTTCAAGTTTATGTTTGTGTTAACTTTGTCATTTGGTTCAAAAAACGAATCTTGTTTCTGGGTTTATCAGTTTCAGATTTTTGCCAATCTGCCTACATTCTTGAAAATGTGGAAATTTGGAAATCGACCCAGCACTGTACTCTACCTATATTCTGACTCTGTTTTTTTTTTTCTTAAAGTTTATGGTTTTTCATTTGGTTTCAAAAATTATAGTTTCTTATAGCTAGAAGAACAATAAATCTGATGAATTATCTGCACAATGAGAAATTGGCTGCACATTTGTTATTGGGCTTTGTCCTTTATGAACAATAAATCTGATGAACTATCTGCCTTTTTGTGTTCTAATACCCACAACAATAGATTTGATGAATTATCTGCATGGTCTGTCATTGGGCTCTGTTCTTTTTCAAGTTTATGTTTGTTTTAACTTTGTCATTTGGTTCCAAATATGAATCTTGTTTCTGGGTTTATGAGTTTATGAGTTTCTTGAGGATTTTTGTTTTTAATCTGCCTGCATTCTTGACAATGTGGAAATTTGGAAATCGACCCTTCACAGTACTTTACCAATATTCCAACTCTGTTTTTTTTTTCTTTTCAAGTTTATGGTTTTTCATTTGGTTTCAAAAATTAATCTTGTTGATGGGTTAATCAGTTTCTCGAGGATTTGTATTTCATAATCTTCTTGTAAAATGGGTTTAAATTTGAGAAAATAGCTGCGGTTTTTGCGTTCTTATAGAATTGAGCATAACTTCCCTTTTTTAGGAACTATGGAAATCAGAGAAGACATTGGTGATCAAAGCAGTGGAGGTGGAAGTGGAGTCAACCTTCAAATGCCCCTGTTGCACCCCTCAACGCTTGGAAGCGGAGTTGGAGGTGACCTGCTGCCCTGCTCAGCACCTGCCCCTGATCACATACAAACTGCACTTGAGCACTTAGAAGCTGCACTTAAACACATACAAGCTGCACAAGAGCACATACAAGATGCAGCTCTTCTTCAACAAGATGTAGCACAATATGCGACTCTTCTTCCACACGATATTCCAAGGCTTGCACCTCCAACTCGTCTTCATGTGGCCATTAGGATCAGCATGTGGCCATTAATGCTTGGTATGATTTTTAGTTTATTAAGTTGTTTCCCACATAGCTTCGCAGACAAAGTTAAACTTAGAAGTTTATCACCACTTGCCCGTTCACTGTTCTTCACTGCACAAATGACATCAACTGTGGGATACGGGGACATTGTACCTGATGGTGTTTGGGGTAAAGTTCTAACGTCATTGTTGAGTTTTTTTCTTAGTGGAGTGTTGGGCTACACGGGGGATTTATTTTTGATGACTTTGTGTGATTGTTTTATCAAATATCTGGGGCTTATGCTAGTTCATCAGTGCGTTAGTGAGCATAGGTTTAACAGTTTTGTTAGCTTGTTAGAATTGCTTGTGCCACTATTTGCACCTATTTTATGTGTAGTTACAGGTATGTTGGAGTTTCACAGACTCACAAAATTTAACTACTTGGATTGTTTGTATCTGTCTGTGGTTACCATAACAACGCTTGGGTACGGGGATATTGTTATTATGTCGGAGGATGCAGTAATTTTTGCTAGTTTTTGGATATGGTTGTCGACAATTATATATGCTAAGTGTACGTATTACTTAAGTTGTAGACTTGCAAGACGTTTGGGAATAGTTTGAGATTTGAGATCACGCAAGTATATTGGTTTGAAATACAATTCTTTTCAAATTTTGCTTATTAAGTCTTATTTTGAAGTACTTATTATTCCATTTTTTCTACATATTTGTCATTATTAATAATGTTATACTGAAGATTGGAAAAAAAAGAAAAAGAAATTGTTGTATTGAAGAATGCTGAAAATTAGATTTTATTTAACCTATTAAGGGAATAGTTATTTGACTAAAGAAAAAAGGATTTATCCTAATCTTCTTCCTTGCTCCATCTTCGTCCCCAAAATTCACATTAATCAAGAAATTCCCCTGTGACAATCGACGGAAAATTACAACAATTTCAGTCTAACCTTGTCGTTCCCACAATTCCCTTCTCTGGTGTCACCACCAACTGCTTTAAAAAAATCATGATTGAAAAAATCTAGCTTGAAAAAAGGAGAGAAATTGCAAATTATTAAAATGACTTATTTATTGATTTGCCCATGAGCTTTATTGAAAATCTCAGTTTACTTCATGACTTTTGCAATTGAGTCACGTTGTCTATCAATTTAATCATTAATACAATTAATTGGTTGATGTGGCATAGATATTTTAGTAATTCCAACTATTTAAATATTTGAAATCCAAATTAAAAATAAAACATTTGAGTGAGTTCTATAAATTAGTTAAAAATCAACATATGGGCCCTAGTTTTCTTAATGATGTGGATTGTATGTGGACAAAATAAAAAATAAAAAATAATTCAATTAAAAAAATATTAAAAAAAACAAAAGAAAATGGCAAACCCAGCAGATTCTCCTAATTAAGCTCAAATAGAATTGAGCATAACTTCTCTTTTTTAAATTAATTTTTTCTTACATCCAGCCCCACCTTTTTTTTTTTCTATAAATAAAACCCAATTTTTTTAGTTAAAAGCCCATAACTAGAATACAACTCATCAACTTATCTAAGCTCAAATTTTGATTTATTGCACTCTTTGGATTCCAAAAGCCCTAATTACGTTGAATTTAGAAAGATTATGTACATTTCTCTCTATGAAATCTGGTTGTAACTGGTGTAGGTATTAATTTGGCAAAGTTTTCAATTTCAACATTAAATTTCATATTTCAAGTATCTATAGGTGGATTTAATGAAAACAATATGTTTGTTATTTTCCTTTTAGGAATTATACGTGAATTAAGAAATAATCTACTTACCTTTTATGAATAATAATAGTGAACATACTAATGGTTTTCATTTTTTATTTTTATGAACATACTAATACCATGGTGTTCTTCGGTTGTTTGAGCATATCTTGTTATCTTGAAAATATAATATACCTAATATTTAAATTTTTATGAATAAAAACATTACTTATTATCTTATTTTAGTGTGCCTAGGATGTTTTTGTGAATAACGTACCATATACCTATTAATTTTATCTATAAAATAATAAAATTTCATCAATAAAATAATAGGCATACATTTTTTTTTTACTGTACCTATGTTTTTAAATTTTTTCCAGCAATAAATGACTTATTATGTGATTGATTTAAATAGAAAATTTAGTTTTTTCCTTTTTCTTTTATAAATGACTAGCCACGCATTTGCCAATCGGTTTTATTTTATATTTTATATTTTATTTTTAGAATTAAGAAAATATAATATGAGTAGTTATATTCCATAAAAGTAGGACTTATTATCTGATTTTGCTTTTGATTTCTAATTTTTTTTAAATATGAAAATAATGTGAATTTATCATATTATCCTCATTTAATTAATAATTTCAATTCTTAATGTTTGAATTAACCAATGGCATTTTCTAGTATTTTGAATGTTTCACCATTCTTTGCTGGTTTTCTTTTTTCTTTTTTCTTTTATTTTTAGAATTAAGTAAATGTAATATGGGTAGTTATGTTCCATAGAAAGTAGGACCTATTATATGATTTTATTTTTTTTTAATTTTTTTAATATGAAAAAAATTAATTTACCATATTATCCTCATTTAATTAATAATTTCAATCTAATTTATCTATTATCTTCTCCTATGGGTCATATAATGTAATATATGTAGGTGTAGGGGCTTTTTTTATTCCAGCAGCTACAAATGGGCTGGGCTGCCCATGTGGCATATGACTCGCCAAAATCGGATTAGCTGTCAAAAGTGACATATGTCGACATCCGACGCAGTGCATCAAACGGTTCAAAGTGAAGACAAAATTAAAGGAAAGAATCTTCTGTGATTGACTTTGATTTAAATCAAATATTAATCACGTTAATCAATCGAATATAATTTGGTTAAATTGCCAGATTTTTGGAATTGATTTTAAATCAAATCAGAATTCCACAAAGGAAGGTCTTAAAAAAGGAAAGTTATTTAGGTCAAGCATCCTGCAGGAGTCTATAAATAGGAGGCCTCAAGATGAGAGAAAGGAGCTTAGACAGACCAAGCATTTAGAAGGAAGAGAAAACTCTCTGCATTCTTCACCTAACTTTGGCTTTGGAAGAGCCACCAAGCACAACAAATACGTGCCGGTTCCTCCACCCTAGAAAAATCCAAACACCAAACAAGCCTTGTGCTACCCGTTTGATCAAGATCAAGTCTCTACGGCCTTTGTATCAAACACAAATTTTCTTTAAACACTTTGGAGATCGAATCAGATGATTCAATACAGAGATTGTAACCCTAAATTTCATAATTACAAATATTATTTTGTACACGTGTTCTTGTCTCATTTGTCACAAGAAATTCGTGTTTACACTGCCGTAAGGAGCAAATAAGTAAAATTACCCCCTGGGTTTGAGTTCAAGAATTAGACCTCAAGAATGCTTCGAAAAGGTAACTGAGCCTTAGGAAGCACCTTGGTTACCTTCACCAGCAAAACTAACAGTCGCTTACAGATAAATACTTAGCTTGGCATGAGAGGCTCGTGGTATGAAAGCAAAACAGTCATGAGTTTAGCATTAAAGAGAGAGAGAGAGAGAGAGAGCTATGAGTTCCTATGAAAAGTAGGGGTTTTAAGGAAAGGGGGAAGGGATTCTATGAGGGTTTGTTGAAGAGAGAGAGAGAGAGAGAGAGAGAGAGAGAGAGATAGATAGATAGAGATGGGGGAATAATAGGTGTGTTGAGTAGTTTCTGGCAGATGGTGGCTCTGTCAAGCTCTAAAACGGTCACCAGAAGAGAAAATGGAAGAGATGGAGCAATTGGGGCTCGAAATTGCAGAGGTTTTTGGGATGAGAGATGAAGCTTGCTCTCTGGATGTGTGTTGCTTATGATAAAGACGGAGATAGAAGGTGAGGCACTTGGGCTTGATGTTTCCAGCAGTTAGAGAATAAGCTTGCTCGACTGCTCTGGTTGAGTTTAATGGGTAGGAGGTACCTCCTTTTATAGCTATTGGAAGCTCCTTCTTCCCAAGAAACCCTAATGGGTTCTCTCCAATTTTGCAAAGTCTCCCATTTCATTTCTCTTCTCTCCCTTTGATCCATCCCATTTAGTAAAATTCTCCTATGCCCAATGCATATTAGATTTTTTGGGAATTCAGAAGTCTTCCCGCAACCATTCCAGTGGTGATTTCTTATCTTTGGCTATTGTCTCTCCTCCTTTCCTCCCCTATTTCATGGCAAGATCTAATAAAGGAAGGAAATAGCTAACTTTGGCTGGTCTAAAGGCTACCTTTTCTCCTGCGCGCACCAATATTGTCTGGTTTTTTTAGCGATCTGCCTTGAGGTTTGTTTTGCCCACGTGCTGGAGCCTCCCAGCAGTTCACATACATAGGAAACTTTGGTTTTTCTCGTGGCTTTTGTCTCCAGCTAAGTGATGAAGATTGCAGATATTTTTCTTGGTTGCTTGGGCCTTCCTAAGGTGATGGGTTAACCCATTAGGGGAATGGGCTAATTTCCTAAAGTGATAGGCTATTTTATTGAGATGATGGGCTAATTTTTCCTAAAGTATTGGGCTATTTCTCTCCTTTATGCTTACCCACATATTTGGGCTCAAGAAATGGGCTTGAGTTTTGGGGCTCTCAAGCAGCCCAAAACTTCCATTTCTCGGCTCATTAATAGGCCTCATGAAAGCTCGTTACCATCCATACTACAACCTACTCAGCAAGCCCCAGGCATTTTGAGTGGCTTGGGCCCACTTAAGCTTGTAGCGTGGCTAGGTGTAATAATAATGATTTTTCGCTTGGCATTGCATGTCGCTTGGCGTGCTAGAATTTTGTCGCTTTGAAGAGGGATATGATGCTTGACGGGATAATTTGCTTGGGCTCGTAAAGCCAGTACTTATTTCAACTCTTAGCATGACATATTGTATATTTATTTGGCATGACACGTGGATCATGACTCATGCGAGCGTGAATGATGAACTTTCGCGTGCTCCAAATCGGGTCTTTTCTTAAGGCATTGCGTTGGGCCAAGAATTTATTTGGGCCAAACCCTGAATTTTTTGGGCCTCAACAGTAGGCATATGAAATGTTAATGTACTTATTTCTTTTTACCTATTATTGTAATACAAAATATCATCTAATTCATATGCGTACTTATTATTTTTTTATATGAGCATTGTACCTATTATTAATCTATATATATAAAGCAAAAGGCAGAGAATGGGGAAACATTCAAAATACCAGAAATGCCCTTGGTTAATTCAAAAATTAAAAATTGAAATTATTAATTAAATGAGGATAATATGATAAATTCACATTTTTTTCATATTAAAAAAATTAAAAATAAAAAAAAATAGATAATAGGAACACAACTACCTATATTATCTTTTCTTAATTCTAAAAAAAAAAATTTTGAATTAAAAAAAAAAAGCCTCTCGCAAGCGCAGAAGCATGTGCAAAGAGACTAGTATATATCATACATATATATTATTAATAGGGAGCTTTAGTTTTAAAACGCAATATAGTTTGCTAATTTGGAAGATAGGAATACAATTTCATCTAATTAGCATAAGGTCAAAGACCAAAATGTAGTATCTAATTTTACAAAAATATCATTAAAAGATATCAAAATTACACATAATGTCACTCCTTCTAAGGCAATCATACTAT